TTAAGTGTAAATCATCAGCTGAGACATTCGTTTCCTCTATCTTCATCTCAGGAACAAATGGCTAAGATAGATGGTATGTTGGGTACAATTTCTCATGGGCTTCTTCTTCAAAGGGAGGCTTTCTCGCAGGCGATAGACTCTCTCTCTTCAAAGCATCCTTTCCTGAAAGACGATATGCTGGAATGTTTTCTATCACCGAGTTCACATTTTCGAAATCATTCTGATGACCTATTACAGTACGTATGTGGTAAAAGAGCAGAGGCTATTGAACAAAGAAGAAATAACTTTAAGCCACGTAATGAGTACATTGCTTCACTTATGGAGGGCATACCTCCCTCTGGTTCTCACCTTTTTGCAGAGGAACCTTTCGCAGAGCTCTACAAACAACATGGAGGGACCATTGGTAGCCTTACTCGTCACCGCGATAAGGCACAAAGGAGCCAGCCAACTACCTTCAGAAATAGGGAATATTATCCAAAAGCTGGTTCATCAAAGAATAGAACATTCAATCAGAAACAACCATCTAAAGGAGGTTGGAAGCCATCTGCTCAGGGTAGTCGTAAACGTAGTCATTCCAATGACGATTCTTCAAAAAAGAAGTTCAAATCTATCCGATTCAAACGCCCCTGACTCTACAAAGCTAGAAGGGGGTCGATTGGGGTCTTTCATCGAAGAATGGGAGAAGGTGGGGGCACCAAGAAGTATAAGGAGTGTGTTGAGTGGTTACTCCATCCCATTTGTGTCGAGGCCGAGACTGACCCCACTAACTCCAAACAATTTCGCAACCCTTGGCATGAATCAAGAAATAAAAAAGTTGGTCGAACAAAAAGTTCTAGAAAAGTCGACATTCCAGGCAGGGTATCTGTCAAAAATGTTTACAGTTCCGAAGTCGGACGGCAGTCTCAGGCCTATTTTCAACCTACGAGGCTTAAACAAATATCTCTGCCCCAAGAAATTCCGTCTTCTCAACCATTTCAAAGTTCCCAGCTTCCTTCAAAAAGGAGACTTCATGGTGAAGATAGACATATCTCAGGCGTATTTTCACATACCGATCAAAAACGAGCATCGGAAGTTCCTCTCGATATCCCACGAAGGAGATGTTTATCAGATGACATGCCTCCCGTTTGGTCTATCAAGTGCCCCGTTAGCCTTTGCGAGAGTGTCAAACTGGTTAGCAAATCAGTTGAGGTCTCAAGGCATGAGGATAATTGTTTATCTGGACGACTTCCTCATGGCTCACCAGGATGCTCAACAGCTTTATCACCAGTTGGTAGAGGCAATTTCATTTCTCGAAAGGTTGGGATGGATAATAAACAAGGAAAAGTCTTTAGCATTGCCACAAACAGAAGTGGAGTACCTAGGAATTTGCTGGAATACTCTGAACAACACGAAGTTTCTTCCTCGAAAGAAACAATTGTCAATCAGGAAAGATCTGAAGGTTATCCTAGAAAATCGGCGATGGAGTTGGGATCTAGCAAAACGCCTGCTGGGAAAATTGAGTTTCGCTTCATTTGTGATCCCCTTGGGCAGGCTTCACTCCCGATACATTCAAAGAGCGAGTCTTGCTTTGCCAGCTCGATTACCTCGAAAACTCATTGCAGTACCGTTGATAGTCGTAGAGGAATGCCGATGGTGGTCCAAGAATTTGGAAATGACGTCCCCTTTATTTCCCAGAGATCCGGAAATTTTTCTGACTACAGATGCCTCGAACACTGGATGGGGAGCGCAAGTGGGAAGCAAAATTATCAGTCGAAGATGGTCGCCAATTCAACAATCGTGGCACATAAACAAGAAGGAACTATATTCGGTTTATGCGGCAATTCGTCTGAGTTGGAAAGAACTAAAAGGAAAATCTGTCCTGATACAGTCCGACAACAGGACAGTTATATCCTATATCAGGAACCAAGGAGGGACAAGGTCTCTCAAACTATTGGAGATTTCATCGAAACTTCTCATATTTGCTCACAGACAGCAAATTGCTCTGACCGCTTGTTTCATCCCAGGAGTTTACAACGAAATTGCGGACAGTCTATCACGAGAGAAAGCAATGGCGGATTGGCATATTTCAACCAGTGTGCGTCACCACATATTTCAGAAGTGGGGAATACCTCAGATAGATATTTTCGCGTCAAAGGACTCGAAGGTTGTACCAAGGTATGTCTCCAGAGATGTGAGAGATCATCTAGCAATATTCACCGACGCATTCAGCAGGACTTGGAACTTCAAACTAGCTTGGATCTTCCCTCCTCCGTCTCTCATCCCGCGAGTCCTTCACCATCTCAACTCGGCGAAAGGAACATACATTCTCATAGTTCCCAGGTGGGAGAAAGTATTTTGGAGGGCAGATCTCAAAGCCCGTGCCTTAGCCCCTCCGTTTCAAATCCGGAACCTTCAGCATCATCTACTGGATGCAAGGACAGGGAAATCGCTTCCCAATGCTCAAAATCTACATTTGGAGGTTTGGAAGGTACGGGGTGGGCCAGGTTTACCAGTGATTGGCATGAAGAAGATATCAACCTATTACATAAATCGTGGAGATACTCGACATTGAAAACATATTCTGCTCCTTGGAGAGGCTGGATATTATGGGCAAATCAGAATAACGTGGAGACCAATGACCCTGATCCAGGGGATGTCGCCAGATATCTTGGTTATTTGCATAGAATCAAAGGTTTATCTCCAGCCACTATAAAAGTGCACAAATCAGTGATATCCACCATGGCTAACCCCGAGAAGAATAACTATGTATCAAGCCACCCTTTGGTAAGGCATATGATGAAGGCCATAGATATCAGTAGACCGCCATCTAATAAGAAGATGATATGGGATGTAAATAAACTCATCTCATGGATCCGAAGAGAACCGAAAGTTCAGTCCAGTCTTTTCCAAGTTTCAAGGCGTTTGGCACTGATTTTGTTGTTAGCTTCAGGTCGCAGAATACATGATCTAACTCTTCTGCGTATCGATAATGATAAAATATGTATCGAAAAAGATTGTATATCCTTCTGGCCAGTCTTTGGTTCCAAGACTGACAGATCTTCTCACAGACAGTCGGGGTGGAGGTTATCTAGGTGTTCAGAAAGAGCACTTGATCCAGTATTTTGGACGAATAATCTCATCAGCTTATCAGCGAAACGTCGAGAGTGTAAGACAAACCTTCACGATCTCTTCATTAGTACTAGGGGAAAGGTTGCGCCTGCATCGAGAACAATGATAGCTGGATGGATCAAAACAGCATTCAAGGAAGCGGGAATTGAATACTCTCCAGGAAGCATTCGTTCAGCAGTAGCTTCATCTAGGTTCGAGAACGAAATACCCTTGGATATAGTCCTGAAGAAAGGAAATTGGAATGGAACGGACAATTTCTTCAAGCATTACTATAAAGAGATAGAAAGAGCCAGTTTCACAAAACCAGCATTAATTTGCGAAACCTTCTCCACAATTTGATTTTGTGTTACAATGCTCAAATTTTCCAAAGAATGTACCTGTTCACGTGATCTCTTCAATTTTATTTTGGGTATCGAATGCCGATTTAGTTTATGGTACCTTTCAAGAGTATCTGTTCATTTAGTATAGGGTAATGAATTCTTTATGTTACCACAGGCTAGATATTTTGAGCCATGAGTTGTTTCCTACAGGTTCACATTTAACTTAGTGTTATACTATTTCCAATAAATGACACATTGTTTCTCAGTAATATTTTCTTTGGATGCAGAGCAGAAAGGATCTCTTATTTAATATCTATAATCACAGTACGCATTTCCGCGTCGTCAGAATCCAAACACTTCTCATAAGGGGTCAAGCCGACGGCACAGACATGAAATATAAAACGTTTTTCCCCCGAAGGGTAAAAAACGATATATTTCAGGTCTTGCCTAGGCTTGACCCCAGTAATTTCTTGAAGACTTTCTATAAAAGAGTACTAACAAATCCCCGCGGCACAGGACAGGTAAGTCAGGAGAAACAGATGACAGCCTGACGCGGGGCTGACGTGACGCGGAATAAACATGGAACAGGCGTGAAAGAGTGACGTACTGGAAGGAAAATGGGAGATGTAATCTCATAAGGGGTCAAGCCTAGGCAAGACCTGAAATATATCGTTTTTTACCCTTCGGGGGAAAAACGTTTTATATTATTAGTACCATTTCCAACAATACCAACGACATCCTATCAAATACTGAACTCTGATTTTGTTTTTTGTCATTGAGTTAGACGAGTAAAATGCGGTTTTTCTTCTCATCATCAAATAAAAATATGTACCACCGCCGCTTTTGTATTGAAGCGTCCAAGACACACATCTGTAATTTCACAATTATTAACTATTTCACCAATAAGTTAAAACTCTTGGTATTCCTGTTCATTCATTTATGCACCTAAATTGAATTCAATCTTTCATTCTATTCGCTAAAAGAAGAGCAACTTTTATCTCTTAACGACAAATACAAATAAAACTGTGACTTGCGCAGGCGCGATTTTGTCATAAGTCAGACAAACAATTTCTTCCTCTTCTTTTGCCAAAATGTGGTTGAAAAAACTGAAAATTCTAGTCGTATGTTCAGATTAGACTTTGAAAACAGTATGATTGATTGATTCTTATTTTAATTATGTGATCACTGAATGTTATAACACAAATATTTTCATCGGGCTATGTACGCTGAGGACTATGTTATGACCAAGAAGAAGAGTTCAAAATTAAATAGTGGTGGTGCATAAAGGTATCATAGTCCTTAAATAAAAATAACTTAATGACACTTAATGAAAGCAGCAGATAAATGAAAAAGCGTTGTGCATAAATCCACCTTTATGATTTTCACATAAACAGTATCTCAACCAGTATTGCTGCTTGCTTTTCCTCTTTTCTCTACCGCCTCTTGAAATTCACCGCCGGCGGCTGATAGTCCCATGCCCCCCTCCCCCTAAATTCGGCACTGGCCGTTGCCTATTTATAAATGATATTGTTGTAACTGTCAAAATGGACTCTAACAATTTCTTTCTTCCAGACTCCCCTGATGCGCTGTCTACCCTACCGTCCGACTGCGCGTCCTGCCACCAATCCGACGATTCGTCCGGCCCGCCCAACCGCAAGAAACGCTCAAGGGCGGCGTTCACGCATGCGCAGGTGTTCGAGCTGGAGCGCCGCTTCGGGCAGCAGCGGTACCTGAGCGGACCGGAGCGGGCGGATTTAGCGGCCGCCCTTAAGTTGACGGAGACGCAGGTGAAGATCTGGTACCAGAACAGGCGGTACAAGACCAAGCGCAAGCAGATGCAGCTGCAGGAGGCTGGGATGGTGCACCAGAACGCCAAGAGGGTGGCTGTTAAGGTAATTTTCTCCACCATTTCCTCTAATAAGATTAATAAGAAGTAATACTTTCGTAACCTACACTGCAGACAATGTATTTGAGTGACTACATAATATGTGGTTATGTGACTGAATTTTCTGATTGAAATTTTTTAGTGAATTCTCAACTCAACCTAAATATTTCATCAAGTTTTCCTATCAATAAGGATGTTTACAACAAATTCGATTGAATCGGATCATGAATCACCATTTTACACAGTCAAGTAGAGTGATATTTCAACTCAATCGGGAGTGGACCGAAATTGACACATAGTGCGTGGACCTTGAGTGAAATTTCACTAAAATATTTTTCCAGTGTAGGTGAATGATGATGAAGAAAGTTTGTAGGATTTCGTGATTCTTTTACTTTGAATGAATGTTTTAATATACTTGAATTTTGAATACTTTTTCGTTATCGGTGTTTATAAACAGTCGCAGTTTTCAATATTATTTCTGTTGCTTTGCAATTTAATGCCATCAGTATTTTATAAAGAGGATGAATTTTATCTAGGTGAATAAAATTGTCAATAATGTCAATGACGCAAGTCATCACCGATGCCTATTCAAACAACGATCTATCAATCAGAATATACTGTCTGTAGGTTGATCGAGGAGGTGGTACATACATTATTCCAGATTTCTTGGGATTCTCTCTCCCCAAACAAATCAGATGATTCGCCGAAAATGTCACTGCGTGTTTAAAGAATTTTTCTATCAGAGAGCCTGAAAGAAAAATTCACTAGCTTGTCAGTGACAATTTGTTAAAAGTTAGGATTTGTCTTGGAAGCTGACACATAATATATGCATTGTCAGATCGGAACCAGTTAACAAATTCCACATAAAGCCTCTTGTTTTACTATCACAATCATAAAATATATTTCCCCATCAACTCCCAAGAGTTCTATAACACATATATATCGTTAGCTTGACGTTATGAAATGAGTTTCATTCTTTAATTTCAGATCAGTATTGTGTTTTCAAATCTCAGAAATCCGCAGAATCTGAACTCGTGAATCCCTATACAGAAATAACGCATAAAACATCTCAACATATGAATACAGTCATAATGGTATATCCTCATCAACACTCACAAATTCTTGAATAAATATGCCCTCATAAGATTCGTTTCATTTCAGATCAGTATTATCTTTTGAAAGCTCAAATTCTCAGAACATATACATGTCTCATTCAAATTGATCAGATACATCTAATCTAAATTCTTGAATCCTCGTTCAGAAATACTTGAACATCTCAATATACCATTGAAGTCAGAACTGTATATCTTTATCAACATCCATGAATTCTGGAAAACATCTAGCCTCAGCTTGACGTTCCTTTCCATATCAGTATTGTCTTTCCAAACCACAAAAATCCTCAGAACATACACATCTCATACAAACTAATTGTCTAATTGAAACTTGTGAATCCCTATACAGAAATAAACGCATCAATCATCTCAACGTATGGATACAGTCATAACGGTATATCACTATCAACACTCATGAGTTCTAAATTCTCCGGCCAATACAGATCTAATATAAACTTATAAGATACTATTCAGATGAGGCATGTATTGTCTAATCAAGATTCGTGAATACTCTTACAGGAATAACGATTGAAACATCATAACAAACGAATACAGTCATAACGGTATTTCCTTATCAACAGTCATGAATTCTGAAACGCATCTAACGTTAGCTCGACTCATAAGATATGTTTCAATTTAGACCAGTAATTGCTCTCGAGACATTTGGAATCCTAGAACGAATATACAACACATAAAACTCATTAGTGACCAATAGAATCAGGGTAGCAGTTCCTTATTGAATATCATAAAATATCGAACACTCTTTACCCTGACAAAAACCCATGAAATACTTTCAAGATTATATCTGTATTGTCTTACAGAGACTTCTGATGTTTCAATAATGATATTCCGCATACAAGCTGATGAGGAACCTATGATTTCAGAACCGCGTTTTCATATTTGAGCTAACAAAACTTCGAACTACTTCAGTTTTTTGAAAACGTATCGTACACATTTCAGATCAGTCATCCATTGTCTAATTGAAACTCGTAAATTCTCAGTCATTCTGAGTCATATGAATGCTGATAGGAATCTCATTAAATTAGACAAGGAATTCCTTAGTGAAACTTTCAAAGTCTGAACTATTTTTTTCCTGACGATATCCGATAATATTATATTTGTGAATTCCTACACATTTTCCATACCTTCTAAGGCTGATGAATGTTCATAGAATAATCTTCCAATTGAAAGAGTGATATCGTATTGAAGCTAATAGTCCCCTCAAACCACTAGTACCTGATACAAACTCACATATACATATAAAATACCATTGAATCTGTTAGAAAGTTTATGTGCCAGGACTGCCAGATATACCCAACTCATGCGCTACAGAACTCGGTTATAGATCCTTATATTTCATCTTCATTTTTTTACGAGACTTCATAAGTTACTTTTGGCAGGGATCGCATGATAACGTTTTTATATCTGACTCTCATAGAGGGGGCTAGTTACACGGTTCGTTCCGAGTAGTTTTAAACATAACTTTCTCGTATTGTATTGTTGTTTCCGGTTTTTTATAAATATGTGATGATTCGACATAATACTCACTCTAATTCATAAAGCTTTATATCAGCAATAGTTATCACTTCATCATTCACAATTCCAAATATTCCGAGAATGGAACACAGTATCGAGCTTTACCAAGTGTACCTTCTTGGTGTACAATTGAATGATATATGTTCAAATTATCATCAAGTTTGGATTGTGATATCTAACCTCAAAAAAGCTATGTTTCTAATCTACTCGGTACGAACCGTGTAAGTAGCGCCCTCTATAAGAGTCAGATATAAAAATGATTGCATGCGATGTGTCTGCTCCCGTAACACAACATCCATACACATTTTCATTACAATGTTGCCAGTTGTCTCGACAAAATCGTAAAAAATGTGCTAAAAGAATTTTTTTCCACCTACTAAGCGAACCCAACATATATTGCACTGTTCTACCCTGGTTATCAATTCATAGTGATTCAAAATTGTCTCTCTATTCTATCATGAAAGGTGCTGGTCAAGGACGATATGCCGTTGTTCCTGCAGCAAAAGTCGTACTACCCCGACCAGGGGTTTGACCGGCCTGGCAAAACCACCATCCAAAAGTACCCAAAGACCATCCAGGAGTCGATGTTGAGCTTGTGTCAGCAGTACTCGAACTCCATGCAGATTTTCCCGTACTTCAATTACTATCATCCCTCGTTGATTGGGAGTTTGGGTCATCAGGACGACGATGGAGGGTTGGAAAATAGGAATGATCAGAATTAGGCAAGCAGGCGGAGCCCAATGAAAATAGTTGTTTGCTCATTTTGTATCCAATCGGAGGGAGCTGAAGTTAGTTCATTTTTCCTAGTGAGCTTTTAGACGGATATGGAACCACAAGAACCTCGAAATAACTGGACTATTTCAACTTTTACGCAAATACTTCAAGAATCGTCTGCCAGAGAAAATTAGAGAGATGAAATATGCACACGACTCTGCGTCGACTGAATTCCAGATATTTGAGATGATAAATCAAATGAAATTGATTTCTTCTCAGCAACTGGATATAATGTTTTTTTCTCTCATCCAACTATTTGTGAACAACTCCAAAATGTCATGATTATGTATAGGGCTATAGAAAGTATGAGAAACCATGAATCCCAACTTTTGGATATGAAACGAGATGATTCAAATAACTCCCATCTGTACGGAAAATAACAGGAATAAAGATATTTGATGGTTAGAACATCTATTTGACTTTAGAGTTCTCATATACAGTGTCTTTCAAAAGTATCGGAACGGTCTCATATTTCAGGAAAGGCTCGAGAAAAATTGACGAAATTTTCAACAGGGTGATTATTGATGATGATCGATTCAATGGTGGCATCGGCAATGTTGCCAAGTTCACAGTTTTTCAGATATTAGGAGTAACTTAATTTTTTCAAATGGATTACCCCATTTATTTTTATTGCAATTAATTAAGCACCTCCTAATTACTTGAGTCCCTGGATATCAGATTCGTAATTGACGTCATTTTCGAAATATGACAACATAGCATTTTCGTTGAAAAGTTCTGGAACGGTCCCATATTTCAGAAACGGCTTAGAGAAAATTTATGAAAACTTCGACAGGATGGTTGTTGATGATGCCCGATTCAATGGTGATATCGGCAATGTTGTCAAATCAACAGTTTTTCAGATATTTAGGGTAACTCAATTTTTTCAAATGGAATACCCCATTTGTTTTCATTGCAATACATTCAGCGACGCCTCATTACTTCTGTCTCCAAATATCAGATTTCAAATTGAAGTGGTTTTCGAAATATGACAACATGGCATTTTAGTTCAAAAGTCTGGGAACCTTCTAATATTTTCAATACGGTTCAAGGAAATTTCATGAAATTTTATACAAGAAATCGGCAATGTTGCCAAATCAATAGTTTTTCAGATATTGAGGGTAATTAAATTTTTTCAAAAACAAATAGGGTATTCCATTTGAAAAAATTGAGTTACCCTAAATATCTGAAAAACTGTTGATTTGGCAACATTGCCGATATCACCATTGAATCGGGCATCATCAACAACCAACCTGTCGAAGTTTTCATACATTTTCTCTGAGCCGTTTCTGAAATATGGGACCGTTCCAGAACTTTTTAACGAAAATGCTATGTTGTCATATTTCGAAAGTCACGTAAATTACGAATCTGATATTCAGGGACTCAGGTAATTAGGAGGCGCTTAATTATTTGCAATAAAGATAAATGGGGTATTCTATTTGAAAAAATAAAGTTACTCCTAATATCTGAAAAACTGTAAACTTGGCAACATTGTCGATGCCATCATTGAATCGGACATCATCAATAATCACCCTGTAAAAAATTTCGTGAATTTTTCTCAAGCCGTTCCTGAAATATGAGACCGTTCCGATCCTTTTGAAAGACACTGTATGATTTCCATATTGTGGAACAATCCCTCACAATGTAAAATCAATTATTTCCTCCAGATAGTATTTTGAGATTATATTCGAATTCTCTATGTGTAAAAATTTAGGATCTGAATGCACCCAAAGTATTGAAGATAGCACATGTAGAAATATAATACCGAGTGTCAACGTATTCATTAAAGAAGCCATATATTGTTTCCAGAGTTAGGATGGTATGATTGGCAGGGCTATTGGATTAAAAAATTGTTGGAATTTTCGAAACTTGTAACTCTTCCATCACTTCCGGTTTCACTGAAAACGACCCCAACTTTTGATTTTCAAATGGACTCCCTGTATTTTTGTCCGTAATCTGTCAGGGACTATCATAACGAATTTAATGATGCCGGGTTGGATAAGGCTATTTTCAACGATTACGAAGATATTTGAGCAATATCGAAACTTCTTCCTGTCACACTCATTGAGCAAATGGAAAACTAGGATATTTTTAAAATATCCCTACCAAACCCAATATCATTGAATTCGTTATGATGATCCCTGAATGATTATTCAAAAATCAAAAGTTGGGGTTGTTTCCGGAGAGACTGGAAGTGATGGGACGGTATGAAATATTGCAAACTTTTTCTATTCTAGAATAATACATCCCTTCCAAATTTGAATCTAATTCTTTCGGAACTCTGGAAACCGTGGCTTGTCTAAAATATACGTTGACATCCGGTATGTTGAATAAGGCTATACTCATCATAACACCAGCATTTTATTGTAAATAAGAATGAATAGATCTCAGTCAAACTGTGCAATATGATTTTTTCAATAATTTTAGGACGAAATCATTAACATTTAGGTTTCTGTTGTTTTATGAAGTGAATATGTATAAAGTAGAATTTAGCTAACCAATTGAAACCAAAGAATGTAGAGATTATAAATGTTACAATATACCTGAGTTCATTATTATTATTTCCATGTACAAATGTATTATAGTGTAAATATTGTTTTTGTTTATCATATAGTTGTCTCAACTTTCATCTTGTTAACTATCGGGGTTAATTTTGAGATAGCAAAATGAATCTTGAATGAATGTAATTGAGTTGAAAGATTAAAAAGAGTGTACCTATCATCATTTGACTGCATCATTTTAGCCATATAGGTAGTTACTGTACCAATAAAATATATCATAGAATCACATGTTATGATTTTATTTTCCTTGAATATTCATATAATATTATTACCTCTTTCTATTAGAGATACTTCTATCAGAGATCAGTCACCCATCAGTGGGTGGGTGACTGATCTCTGCTTCTATATTCGGAAATGATGGAAATATATTCGTGAAACTATATATTTTTTCATCTCTTGGAGCGCACGAATGGAAATTCCTATAATTTTCGTGCACTGTAGAAAATTCCTTTGAGTGATTTACTGATTGGAATTTTCGAGAGAATTCTCCACTCAAAATAGATGAGTATTTATATCGTGTTTTGTTATCAATGAGAATGTAATTTGATTGAATCGGCTCATGAATTACCATTTTACACAGTCAAGTAGGGTGGAATTTCAACTCAATAGGGCGTGGACCAAAATTGACACATTATTGCGTGGACCTTGAGTGAAATTTCACTCAATTTTTTTTTCAGTGTTGAACATCGTGCATGCCTAAGGGGGATAGGGAGAGAAGTAGGTATTGGATTTGTTTTTACTTTTGGAGGTTATGAGTTCAAGGGAATGGGTTGAGTGTAAGATCTGTCAGATGACCGACCCTGGAGGTGAACCATTGAAACACAACCTCACTTTTCTCATTTGTTTACAAATGATTGAAATAGTTTTTCACAATTATTTCGGCAAAGATATTCTGATGCAAACGAAAATTGTTTGAATAATTCTGATACAAACTTCGGAAATGACAGTTGACAGTTCCTACAATTGACAGGCCAGACATGTCTCATATTACCAAAGCTGTGTTTAATGAACTGTGTTGCCATGGTAACGTGTTTAAGAAATCGTGTTGCCATGGTAACGTGTTTAATATCTTGAATAAATCACAGATCGTCAATCCGTGATTAATCGATCATTTAGCGTGATACATATCCGTACGATAAATGCCATTTTAGTTATGTGAGTAGAAAAAGGCGATTCTGCAATAACAACAGATCGCAAATTGAATTACTACCTGAAAATCTATAAATAAGTCATTCTGTGCTAAATAGTCTAAGATAAAGAATAACTTTGTTTCAACGGGAGTATGATGGATGCAGGAGCTTCAAAAATATTATTCTGTGCCTCGGTGTAATGAAAACACAGGTATATTGCAATAGTGGAAAATTCATGCTTCTGAATTTTCCATTCTAAGTTCGATGGCACGAGATACTTCAATCCCGTCGGAAAGATTATTCTCACGTGCATGTTTTTTTTCTTGTTTAGATGTAAGATGTAAGTATGTATGTACCTATTAGGTACTTACTTTTCAATAAATGATGATATTTTTGTTGTAATTTTGTCTTCCTACTTCTACATTATACCTAGAAAGAAGGAGAAGGTAAATATCCCGTACTAGACTGGAACAAGATTATGCATGACAAAATTGCGATACATTTGCGAGACTCTCGTACGAGCCGCGAGACAAGACGATACTGGAGGCTGCGAGACGAGACTCGAGACAAGACTTCATATTTCATCGCGTTGGTCTTGTGTGAATCACTTCAAGTGACACTATTCTGCCAGGAATATTCAGCGATTGTTATTACCTCTATTTGCCTAATAATTTTGATTGTTCAAATTGATGTCCATTTTTCCCCACACACTTTCTCAATACGTCTCAATGCATTGAAAATCATTAAAGAACGTCTTCTTAATTCCTGGAAAACTGTCAAGATTTTTGTTTCTCTTACCCAGCAAACATTGAACTAGCGGGAGAAGTCCGGCCTAGTGCAGGCTAGTCTGGGAAAGTGACGATGCCGGGGTATAGGTAATGGGCCGATGATTTTCCTATACCAAGACCATCAGTTAAAAATACGATGATGGCCTTGTGATGGTAAGATGTCTGGAACCAATTGAATACTAACGAGATCTGGCCCTTTGCTGGCCAATTTCATATTCACTACCCGTCCCCCTGGTGGATGTTTTGGGAACGTCTACATCAACAATCAGCTGATCAATATCATATGTGACTAAGATGGCTGACTCTCGTGAGTGGTGATCGCGTACTAGTTTGTTTATGTCGAATTAATGTGGTCCTCTCTGTCCGTGGTGGTTATTTATGATGGCAGGAGTATTCTCAATTGATGATAATAGAACACAGATTCTTCAATTATGATGATATTGAGTAAGTATCAATGTACCTACATAGTGTTTTGAATTTGATTATTTAATGCATGTGTTTGGTATCTCGTAACCTCATATACCTAATGATCATGATAATTGGAGTTAACTATACTTCTCTAAAAGCAACCATCATTTTTAACTCGTTTGTTGCGAAAGCAATCCCAGATTATGTGAACCTATCTCTATATTGAAATACTGAATAACAATAAGGTTTCAGCTACAGAATTACCTATGTCAAGACCATAATGAGAATTGGAAAGCTCCATGTTATCACGTCATTTGACTATATTATCAAATTATAAACTCATGCAACTCATAGGCCACTAATATAAAACGAATGATGCATTTTATATTTCAGAAGTACCTCACAACAAAGAATCAACTTCGAAGGAATGCTACCCAATAAGATGTAGATACCACGACACACCAACCAGTAAGCAGTCACTCCGAGAAGTTCCATCGTTGAATAACAGAGAGGTTAAGTAGATGTCATTGTGTCATTCATAAAATTGTTTTCTT